TAATAGTCATTTTATAAATCAATCAAAAACTTAGTTTATTTATTGATCGTACTTTTATTTTTTAGAAATAAAACCAAAATTACTAAAAGATGAATATTGGATTAAATTATTCTTTATATTATAAGAAAAATCAAAAAAAACAATCAAAGAATCACAATTAATATATTAAGGAACCAGAGATGGATTGAATGGTAATACATTTTGGAATAAATGTAATGGTAGGTGTAATCTACTTATGATATTTTAATCTTAGAATGGATATATTTTTGGTGCATATTCTCCATGTTAATGGTAATAGAATCTAAGAAATTATGTTTAAGATGATACATTATCTTCATTTTTATTCTCGTAAACACAGGATTAAATATATCCTTTGATATAAGATAGAAAATAATATGCTATTTATTGCAATAGCGGATATGGGCCGACATTTGGAGGAGGTCATGATCTACACATTAATGCCAATTTTAAGGATGGTCATTAAAGTTTAGGTCATACATATGAGAACAAATCTTCTAATTTGTTTGGATAAGACAAACCAAATATTAGCGAATGCGAAATATTTGAATTAAAATTTATTTGATATTTAAAGTTAAAGATATCATTATCTATTTTAAAAGCCTAACATTTTATTTCATATAATTTTGAGACTAATCTTTTCTAATTCTAGTTTTTACGCAAAACTAGCAGCAAATACTTATTAATTCTGGAAAGCCAGCAATTTATTATTAACCATACTCTCTAACATCATGACTATAGCACTAAAAAACCTTTTTTTTGAATTTCTTGTCTAAAACTATAAATTTAAATGTTTAAAAATCCATAATTAAGCAATAATATGTCCAAGCTTAGGAAAATCCTTTACAATAAGATACTCCCAGGCCGAATACTATAGTAAGAATGCGTTGAGAAGGCTAAACGAGATACTGGAACATAAGAAGTGTGACCGTAACCCACCTAACCGGTATAGAAATTTAGGGGATCAATTATTCATTTTAAACTTTTTAAAAATAAAAAGAAAAATACTATTAATATATCTAAAACAACTTAATGGCCAAATAAAATCCGAAGTAAATTATCTTTCTGAAAATTATTTGCCTCTTTTAATCCTAGTAGTTTCTAATCTATGGAAGAAGAGTACAATAATCTTTCAAATTAGCACAGTTTGTTGAGAAAGATTTTCATTCTTTAATTTTTATAAACCTTGAAACAAATACAATATTTTGATTACAAACAGCCTCCATTTGAATTTCAAGGAAATTGATTTTGATAATTGGGCAATTGTTAGCAGATTAATAAAGAAAATAAAGACAATTTCTCAAAAAATAAACCTTTTAAAATAATATTATATAAATGTTAAATCAATTAATATGATTTCTTAATAGCCAATTAAAAAACTTTAACAGATATTATATCGTAAATAGTATTTGATAACATTATAAAAATACTATTTCTTTAACTCTTTTGAATACAGCTTGAAATTTTTTGCATTTTCAGATTGAATTCTATAGATTAATTTATTCAATATCTTTTATTTCTTCATTTTAATATTTCCTATTAGTTAATTCCTTATATGAAAATTATCAGAAACAATAATGCACTTGAAATTTCATCATCGCATTTTAATGGATCAGCAATATATTTCATTCTTGT